TAGAATTCAGCTTGCATTGACTTACAAAACCTCTCTGCATATCGTAATAAAAATTTACTGCCAGAGTACAATGTATGATCGTATAAATACGTCCTGTAAGATTGGCTGGAAATGTCACTAGCGATCCGCGCGACGCGATAGATTTTACTACCGTTATCGTAAAAAGGTTTAATTACGTGATTCAGATCGATGCGAACGTTGTTGGGGCAAATGCGGCTTAAGCTTTTTTCTTCTCATCTTTCCGATTTAAATGGTGCATATGTTCAATCTCTGAATGTGTTGGGAAGGGATTAAACCCTTTTCACCTCGTTTCGAGCGAGCAAAAATATCTCTGTCCATGCTAATACCCGCTTGCGCGATATTTTGCCCGTTACCGTCCGAATCTAAACCTTTAATCTTTATCGTGGAAATAAGTAAAACATAGACGAACTTAACTACTAACTTATCCGATATACAAACACAGCTGTAAATATAATAACGTTGTACGCTGTTTTATCAAAGCCTGGAGTCGTACCTATTTAATCTATTTTCTCTAGAAAGATACAAATATAATTTTTACAATACAAAACTGCTCTCTTACCACTCTCCCCGCAAGTGACGCACCAACCTCCTTAAATTTTGAAAGATCAATAGCATTTAAGAGATACGCACGATAAAAATAATTTTCTCTGAAGTAAGGTTGCATCTCGAAGATGCAACGGTGTATAAACGCAATCGATTTTTCTCGTTTCAAACTAAAAGAATATATTCATATTTTAAGCATGCATTTCACATGTCGGGACGACTACGTCAAATTTTCTCGCGTTAATATTATAATTAAGATATCCAGTATCGCACGTGGTAAATTTACGCGGATGCGCGAGAAACGGAAAGCCGTACTTCGTGTTACGGCGAGAAGTCATATTTTCGATAAGATTCGATTTTACAATCTTTCAACGCTCATGGAGCAACATACGTTCGTAGGGGAACATATAACCGTATTCACGGAACGGCGCGAGGACCTTTCTTCCCTTCAAACCTTTCTCTCTTCTCGATTCGCGATCGCGTTACATGGTTCTGGAATCTTTCCAAGCAGCCGGACTCCGCGATTTTTAGAGCGAAGATTGAGGCGAAAAGTGTATGCAAAGTACCTCCGGATTTTCTCAGATTCTTGATACGTTTTCGGGACTTCATATTACTATCTAAGTAATATGGATTTGACACAATCTTCTCGTTGTTACGTGAAGAATTTTCCAAAGTTGGAGCATGAGCTTTAACGAGGCTTGAAACATTTGTTGCGCGTCATCTTGACAAAAGATATTTTAAATAATAGATGAAAGTCCTCTGTTATTCTAATTTGAGATACCAGGTTTCCAACGTCAACATTTAATCGCAATGATTACACGTTCTAACAATTTTCCATTAAACAGATTTCACTCCAAGGGCAATAAATTAACGACGAAGCCAATAGGTGATGTCTGTTAATTTAGCAAAAAAAAAACTCGCTATCTCATATTAGGATCTTATCTCAATAGGGGACTTTTTCTATACATAATAAGAGACAAAAAAGATTTTAATGAAAGATGCTATCAAGAAAGTCATCTTTCTTATGAAAATTTTCGATAGAAAAACAATTAGGCTTCTTCGGAATAATCGTGATTGTACTTTCCAATGCTAAAATTGATAATCATGAAATTATTGATAAACTGTACATTCTATTACTATGATTTTCCTTATACGCAATTAGTTTTATTTAAATTCGCTAGGAAGCAATTGAACGGATCAATATTGGCAGGACTAACAGAATAACAAAGTGCGATAATAAACAAAAATAAAATGCAATTTATTAATTTTTAATATTACAGAGAGAGAGAGAGAGAGATTTATTAAGCATTATCAATATTACATCAATAAAAGACGCTAATTACACGGTGATGGACGTGCTAAGCTTCCGATAATATCGTAGTATGATTAGCAAGTATCGAATCCATTCAATTTTCATTGTTGGCTGCACGACGTTCCTGATTCCGACTAGATTGTTAATATCATGCGAGTCGAAATGAAGCATCTCTTGTATTTACTGGCTGCGTATCACAGATGTATAGAAAGCCGAGTAAGATATAATATATAAAATGAAATAAAACACAAAAGATACGATGCATCTTTCAGCGTGGTTATTATTAATTTCATATATTTAGTTAACAAATTGAAAAAGAACACAGCCTCGGCTATTATTAAATCTCATGGTATTATTAAATTTTCCGTCATGCCTGCGCCGTTTTACTCGGTGCTGCAGGTGCCGCCTGCGCTATATTTTATTACATTAAATCATACTGGAGATACAATTACAATTTCTGTCTTTAGAAAGCTTTGCACGTTTCCTCTTATTCAGCGACCTATTTCGAGAACGTCCCTACCATCCGTCTTGGCAAGGCCGACAGTACGAGAAAATTTAATGAACGTGACTAGATCTTATCGAAGCGCGGCGGGAGTATGGCAGAGAAGTCAACTTGGAGCTGGGAGAGATTGGCACCGCGCACCGCGCGTCGCCAGTTTATATAAGACAGACCTGACTTTTACGAATTTTCGATTCCCGCGCCGCAAAGCAATCCACTCGCAGTTTTTGCCCCATTCCTTCGCGCCTCCACCGTCGAAGAAGAATACTCACGTTACTCTAGTAATTTAACTTGAACTATATAGATCGCTGTTACAACTTTCCTCGAAGCATTGTCCCAAGTTCGCAGCGTTCCATCGTGGACTTAAACAGCGTTAAATAGCTTCTCTCGGTTTTCTCTGCCCCTGCAGGTTTACAATTTACTACCGATATCTTAATGGAAGGTAAACCGGCAATCCGCGGTTCTACGGGGGCGCCTGTAAAAAGATCGAAGCGGATACAACGAGTCCCAAATGAACGGAGCGCGGACGGGAAACGTTAAGTTATAACCGAATTTACCGACGTCTACTTTAGAGTGTTTACGCCTCTCACGAGAATACCCCGGATACCGGACGATTTGCATCGTTAGATTTTAATTACGCATAAGTTCCGGGCGCATTAAGAGTCGGGGGCAGAGCGCAAAAGGAAGGGGAGAAAAACGGGATAAAAAGCCGAGTTTCAAGTACATTAAAGCATCTCGCGGGTTTCCTAGGAGATTCGACGTAGACAAACGGTCGGATTACTTCTCTCGCGAAGCGAAAAGCGCGGCCGGGCAGAACGGCGAGCTACTCCTCCCTTTTTTTTGTTTTTAAAGCCGACTCCGAGTTGCCGGCCAGGGTTTAATCAGTTGTTAGCCCAACCTGGGCCAATTGAAAGTTGGCGAAAATTAAAGAGAGCTTCGAGGGGACGTATCCGGGCTAATCTCCCAAGGGACTCGCGATTCGCGCGAGCGATTAAACCACGTCGCAAAATGAGGAAAGGAGTCGTACCGGCGGGAAGTTACGCTCTCGTACCGGCGTTGTCGTAAAACCAGCCCAGTTCGCAGCGTGTAACGCCGCTCTGTAAATTGCGGCTCTCATATGTTGGTGCTTTCTGCCCCTCGCTGCGTCGCGGTGTCGCGTAAAAAGTCCGCCGTACGGACGACTTTAATTTACGTCGCCCACCGACAACGATAGCACGTCTGAGACTAAAAACTATTCCGCGCGCGCGTTTGATAAATCTGATTAAATGCGGCATCGCACTCGCCTCTAAATTGCACGCCTGAGACGTTAACGCTGCATCTCATACTGCACGCTTGTAATATATACTTTATGGCAGCCACGTCCGAGGAAGTAACAACAAAGTTGCTTGATTATAAAATGATTGCAGGGAAATCTTGCACCACACGGCTATTGTTTCACTTTGAATAAATGCAAATGCAAAATACTTTTCTTTTCCGTGAAAAGTTTTTGTTCCTTTTAAGTCGCATACGTGGTTACATCGTCCATTAATATGTTGTTTGCCCAGCAATTTTTGTACGACTTAAGCCCGTATTAGATTGAGATTTTACCAATCAGAGTAACATTCATTAAACTTTACTCCGGTTGGTCAAACTTGAATCTAATCTCAACCTCAATCCGTAGTCTAATACAATAATTCTCATATTATTATAAATGTATAAAGAAAAGTCCCCTACTATGAGATAGGCTTCTAATATGAGATAGCTGGTTTTCAACATCGAAATTCAATCGCAAATCTTATTTCGCAACGATTACACGATCTAACGATAAATTTTCCACTAAACCAAGTTCACTGCAGGGGCAATAAACTTATGGTGGAACCAACAGATGACGCCTATTAATTTAGCAGAAACCCCGCTATCTCTCTTAAGAGACTATCTCATAATAGGAGACTTGCCATTAATAATATTGTATAATATGATTACATACACAAATAAGATACCCTGAATTATCAATTATGCATTCCATTTTATCTTGTTATCTACACGGAGAGAATTTTCTCTTAAAATTTACCCTGAAAATCATGTAATCGTGAAATAATATGGCATTTTGAAGAACTTTATGAGAGGTTTTTGAAATTTTACCATACATTCTGACGGTAAAAGTTCAAAAATATCTCATAAAATTCTTCGAAATACCGCGTTGTCCCACGATTACATGGTTTTCAGGATAAATTTTAAGAAAAACTTCTGTGCAGTTATTCAAAATTTTATATCTATTTTTGATGTGTTTTAAAAAATTTGCGCCGGCCACCAGTGGCCACCATGTATCGTATCGCTAAACCTATTCTGTTTCCGTGATCTTCAGATACCATCGAATTGTTTTCTTTGCGATGTGACGAGTCGCTAATAAGCGACATAAAAACACGTCGATGCCTTTCACGATATCGACAATACAGCATAAAGTTGCAAATATATAAAAGAGTAAAATTTAAGTGAGTTACTTTACAATGTCGTTCATTAAGCGACTTATCAAATTGTTGATCCGAACTTGGTCATGTTACCCTAATAACCGGTCGCGTCCAGCCAGATTTTTCCACGTTACGAGGCCACTAATTGAAGCGGTTACCGCGTGATTCGCTGTTGCAGAGGCACCTCGTGGGACGTATCTGCTGATAGATGGCCGCCGGCTGGATCCCGGAAACCAGTTTGTGCCGGTGAAGGAGGGCTCGGAGCTCACTCTCGAATGCGCGGCCGAGGGTGGAAACCCACCGCCCATCTTGGCGTGGGGCATGACCTTGTCTCAAGCCACTTTGGACGGCCCGGAACAACCGCCAGACAACCTCACCGTGTTGCCCTCAACATCCGGCAGGCGCAGCGGGGCTCACCTAAAGGTCTTGAGGGGACATCACAATGCCACCATCGTTTGTGTCGCGCGCCACATCACGCTGATGATACCGATGAACGCCAGCATCCTGCTCGACGTTCAATGTGAGTATCGAAATAACCGTGTTCCGACGCGATGCTGTTTCCTCTTGAAAAATCTCGTCAGATAAATGTCAAAGAGCAATGCTCTTCTTTAAATTGTTAGAATTGCCGTTTCTTGTTACCTTTTAATTTTCATTGGGTTCTTTTTAGTGAAGACGACGGACGATTTCGAGTGTTCTCTCTATTAAGATTAAGCTAACCGAGAACACCGTCGTGTCGTCCGTTTACTTCTCTGCGGAGAATTTTTTTTTTTCAATTTTTGGCTTAAAGTTCCCGCGTGATTAAACCCGTCCGAAAACTCACGACGAGCCGGGTACGCGAAAATACAAAAACAACAGAAAATAATCAGCAGTTATCATGCATATGCATGAGCTTAAATTGCGTTTTGAGACAGAGCTAGCGCGAAATAAATTCCGCGGGTCGTTTCTGCTCGGGGATCGACGGGCACGAGCCGGCGGGATTTCCGCGATATTAAACCTAGTCGCGCCACCGTGCCGGAAATGAGTAACGAGAGTAACGTGTGTTGGGCGGACGAGCCCGCGCGCCCATCGAAACTAAAATATAAACTTAATTAAGTCTGAATCCGACGGCATACTCGCGACTTGTTTTAAGCGAGCCTGCGAGCCGGGAAGAAGCGGCGCCGCGTTGTATTCGAGGTGCGACGACTGTGTTACAAGAGCCGGCGGTAGGAAAAGGGTTGCGGCGGCGGCGTCGGGGAGAGAGTTGGAGTCGGGGGTGGCTCGAGGGGTGACGCCGTGTATTATGCGACGCGGAGGTAGTTTATTTTGCGTCGTTGCGCCTCTTTCGCCACTCTTGCATCTAGCAGTCGCGGTTAGTCGGAAAGTCCTCCCCTCCCCCCCTTCCCCGGCCCGACACACCCTACGCTGCCCCTGCCTCGGGGAGTGGCCCAAGTCGCCGAGAGAAGCTTCTCCAGCCTGTTTCGAGGCAAACTCCGGGAGGGATTAACGGGAGTTCCGCAGCGCGGACAAAAACTGGTAGAGGCGTGCGAGCGCTCGCGCGCCACCCCTGCGCCCTTTTTACCGCGCGTCGCCTCCTCGGGCGTTTAGGGGAGGCTCGTCGAGGCGAGACCGCGAAGATATATCACCCCCGAAACTGGTTTCCTCCGCCGTTTCTTCTTCTTCTTCAACCGGGCAACTTCTCCCGTTTTCGCTCCCGCGAGCTGCGGAGCGTGTACTCGCGACTCTCGCTCTCGATCGGAGTTTCACAGGTTAAAAGTAAATAAGAAGTGATTTTTCAAATATCTCATTTCGAGCTCAGAAGAATGTCATACGCAAAAAATGTGAAAATGTTGATTTTGAATGAAATATTGTTCTTGAAAAAATGAGGTTGCATTATGACTACAATTGCATAAGGAAAACATCGTTTTAATTTCAACGGTCCTTTACGAACGTCTGCATTTGAGACTCTAACTCGAATCGAATATTTTGGCCTCAGATTAGCCTCGTACAATTTTTAAATTGGAAGCAATGAGATCAAGTCCTTGTGTCAGAGAAAATATATTGAATTTTTGACCTCAGATAGGCCTGAAAAGAGTCGTTACTTCCCTTTTAGTAGCAAAGAGGCCAATGCGAGTGTAATCAACAGAGGTTCGGTAGATCCTCTTCGGCCTAAGAGGTTTTCAAAGAGGGTGAAATGTTTTATTACATTCCCTGTGAGGGTTAGAATGATCTAGGCCTCAATTTGAAACCGACTCCGAGGTCCAAACGAAGACAGAATAGAATAGTCGAGGCCCATTCTGGGACCAAATACTCGACTCGCGGGAAGGAGCAGGGTCCTGTCGCGAGTCACAGTTCAGGAAACCCTGCTTTATTGGGACTGCCGCGGACAGTTCTTGTTTGTGGTGGGTGCAAGGGGAGCCCATTGTACGCCGACATTATTTCGTCCTTTTAGTCCCTTCACGCCTGTCCGAGCGCCGCGTCGTCCGGCGGCCCGAGGCTGAAAACGAGCTTCTCGAAAACTTACTCTCCACGAAGGAGAAAGTTCACTGCTAGTCGTTTAACCGCTGGGGAAAAAGGCGACGGGACATACCGAGACACGTGAATTTCCCGCCGGGGCTTTTCAAGGACGGCGCGCCGATCGATCCCGTGATTAATGTCGCCTTCGCGTAATGAACTTCGAGCTGCTCGCCTTGGAAATAACATTCAACAAATGACGACTGCAGCTTATTTCACATTTATCGCAGAGTATCGGATCTCTCGCAGACGAGCACGGTATAAGTAAAAGAATGGAAAATAGCAGGCGCGATAATCCATTTTCCACTTGTTCAATATTCATCGCGGTTTCTCGCCTCGTGGTATTTTCTCCAACTCGATTTGTGAAAAATCCTCGCGTTCGCCATGGAATTTGCGGCGGTGCGGATACCTAATTTCAAAGACGATACGGGCGCGAGCAGTCGCGCTGAAACGTCTCGAGAATGCAAATTTTCTAGGCGAACAGCTCGTACGCCCGACGTCTCGGAGGGTAGGACAGGATGCGGGTGCCTTACGGGCGATAGTGATATCGTACGGATCGGCTGTACGTCTTTGCTCTTTCTCTCTCTCTCCGTCCCTCCCTTACTTTTGGTCGCGAATTTATTCCAGCCGTACTTGCGTATCCCCGGCTGTCGCGCCGGGGACAGGACAGAGGAGGTACATTTGTCGGCATCTGAGCGAGCAAATTTTCCGGTAGGACGGTCGCTAAAGGCGCCAGGGGCGCCCTGGGACGCCTTTATGACGCCGGGGTGAAAGGGGGAACCCACGTGGTGACCCACTTTCCATATCGTTGCGGCGCATCGCCGTTTGTCATTACGCGTAATGCAAGCTATTACCGGTTGTCATCGCCGGGGTCCCTTCCCGTTCCATATCGAATAAATGATTTTACTTTTAAATCGCACCGCGGCCGACGTCGCGATTAATCATCGCGGCGCGCTCGTCGGTCCGGGCTGCGACCGCGGGCTATTTTACATAAGTTCGACTCTCCCGGCCGGAGCATTCGATTTGTACTTGCCGGCGACGGCCGGAAAACGCGATCGGATTCGCCATAAATCACCCTGATTTTTGGCGACATTCGTTATTTGCAGCTGACCCGAATACGCGCCTGCGGCAACTTCCGGGCACGGTCTTGCCGGCCTGACAGCCGCGCTATGAATATGTAGCGAGCGTAGCCGTAAAATTGTTACCGCGGTTGGATACACGGCCGTGCAAGACGAGCTTCATCTCGATGTGCATTCTAACCGATCTACGCGCGGCGCGTGCTCGCTTCGTTAAACCGAAGACTCGCGCTGTGAATTATGAAGGAGTTTGCGAAAAAGCTTATTGCTCTTCCACGCGGTATTAATTGTCGAAGTCTCGACCAACTTCGTCCACCTTAATTCTTAGCAGATATCGTCGAAACTTTTAATTCCGACATTCTTGGACTTTTACGTACAGATTAGAAAAATTGATTAAATTGACTAACCTCTTTTACTATCTTAGATCCTACTATACAGGGTGTTATGTAATATCCGTCTCACCTCTTTTTTACAGATAGAGTGGACTAGACTGAGTCAAAAAGTCCTGTACCATTTTGCAACTTTTGCAATAGTTAACGTGTTATTAATTATTAAAAATCGCTGTTTTAGCCTGGCCGCGCGCCTAGCAACGCCGATCGCGGAACGGCCGCATCTCGCCGCGCATTTGAACTGGGCGGTAGACCGAGCTAAGATAATTTTTAATAATTAATAACTCGTTAACCATTGCGAAAATTGCAAAATGGTAGAGGACTTTTCGACTCAGTCTAGTCCGCTCTAGCCGTAAATAAGAGATAAAGCGGGTATTACTTAATACTCTGTTACTTAATACTCTGTATAATAGAATTAAAGGTTCAACATAGGGCCAAAATTTCGACTCGGATACTGTCGCTATAATTTATTTAATTGAAATACGTTTGTGCGTATCGCATAATACAACAGAAGATTATGTTGTAACATCTGCTCGGGTACATTATTGCTGTTTCTACGCAGCGTAAAGATTTGCAAAAGAAAGGCCAATATTCGCACGGAGATATGGTCTGACAAAGCTCTGTATTAAGTCGTTAGTTATGATAACAAACAATAACACTTGTACGTATTTGCACTTGAAATACTGAAGTACTAATTGGCACTTGAGGAATCTGTACATCGTGCCGTTGTTGTCGTACGGAAACACTACTGAGTCGTCCTCGTTAGTTACAATGAGAATGTAATCGCTCTGAAAGAGCACACAAATGCAATAGTATCCTACATAAGTTATGACAAAGCGCTGTTTGCACAGTCGCCGTTCGTAATCCGATTCCAGCTTTGAAGAAGTAATTGCTGCAGATTTGCCGGGTCAGTGTGTCAAATAATTTAATACTCTGTGTTAACGGGCAGCAAATTCTTCTATGCACGTATTACGTTCAGAGCGATTATTGGATGCATTGCAGGCTCTTGTTTATCTCGGGGGAAAAAAGATTTGGTATTTCGTGACAAAGCTGTTAAATTTTGTAAAAATACGGTTTTACAAATATTGGAATAATAACAGCGAGCGACAAGAACGGTGAATTTCGATATTTTTTTAGGATTTGCCTGTTTTTATAATTTGGCGTTGCAAATTTTAACATGATTTCGGTCCGGCGTCTTGCTCGCCTGTAAATATGTAGAGATGATTGCTTGAATTTTTTTAATCGGGGCTTGTTGCCTCTACCGTGAAGAAAATATGCAAATAACGTGATCATCATGCTTATCGCGTTCGAGTTCTGAAACTTTTTTGATCACTCTCAGACGCGGCGTATTTGACGCGCGTAACGTTCAGAGAAGGACCAACATTCGTTCAAGTTCGCGCGAAAGTTCACGATATTGGCATGGTACTTCGGTTAATAAGATGCAAAATACTTGGGAACTAGCCGTCGTCGAAGACGACAAGCGGGCGAAAATCAATATGCATTCTGATGCATGAAACGCAGTCTCGTCGGAACGACATAATGTACCTGTAAGAATCACGGCACTC